TATGCTAGGTATTGCGATACGATATATTGTGATATTGCAAATCACATGCGTCATAGTTTATGTAAATAACCCAATGTGTGTTCTTTGAACCTGAAAAGGAGATGGCATTGTTTTTGTTGCTTTCATTGCAATTGTATTCATGTCTTAACGTAACTTCCTGTTTTATATACGACCATCTTTCGGAGGGATATGCTACAGTTAATATAATAAAATATCGATACTTGGCGTCCGTGTATTGATACAATATCGCCATGCAAAATATCGCGATACTATGCCGTATTGATTATTTCCCCCACCCCTAATATTAATACTATTTCAATCCAACTATCCTAAAATTACATAACGATGACATGAATATGATTTTACACTCTGACCGTCAAAAATCTGAATGTTAAACCTTTACATTTATTTTCTCACTGTTTTTTTAAATACATGCTAGGTTTATATTATTTATTAACAATGTGAATGTCAATTTTTGATTGTGAAAATATATTATATGTTCATATTTTTAAATGTTCACTGAGTTACATTTTTAAATCAGAAATGTAACCCTTTAAATAATGCCACTCTGTCTTTAATTCAATTATTTTCATTAAACTTAATGCCAGGGGGATTTTGCTCTAATTTATTTTACAGTCTGGATTACGTCTTTAATTATCAATATTCTTATTTTTTTACATTTATTTTGCAGAATTTTAACCTTCAAATGCTGTTTTTAGGGTTTCAATAGCGCATTTTTCACTGATAAACATGTTATTACCACACACAAATTATAGCAGCTGACGTGCACTCACTCAATGCAGGATATACGCACAGACAGTCTGATTTATTAGAGAGGCATAAACATGAAGCGGTTTCCTGTGTTGTGTTCAAGGCTCTCTGTGTCTCTATGTTTTCCAGCTGGAGCCGTTTGATGTCAGTGTTTCTGCAGATCTGCAGCAGCAGCTGGCGGCTGTCGTCCAGGAGCTCGGCGTCCAGATCCCCCCCCCTGTGAGTCCTCTGCCGTTTAGTGTCGATATATTAGATATACTGTTAATATTAAAAAAGATATATATACAACTGTTAGAACATCTCCCTGGTCCCCGGCTTGAGCTTCAATCTCAGGATCCATGTATTTGTGATCCTCTCAACAATGGAAGTAGTCAAAATCTCAAAATTCAGATTTTCTTCTCAAAGTCCTGACTTTTTCTCAAATATCTCAAAATTCAGACTTTTTCTCAAAAATATCAAAATTCAGATTTTTTTCTCAAAAATATCAAAATTCAGACTTTTTCTCAAAAATATTCAGACTTTTTCACTAAATTCTGACTTTTTCTTCAAATTATGACTTTTTCTTAAAATATCAAAATTATGACTTTTTCTGAATACTTACATTTTTTTAATAATCCCTGGTCCCCGTCTTGAGCTTGAATCTCTGATCCATGTATCTGTGATCCTCTCCAGAATGGAAGTAGTCATCACATACAGAGCATCAACTAGTTCCTGAACAGTGTCCTTCACATGCTGATATCCAAGAGAGGGAGTTCCACAGTCACAAGATGGAGGAATAGAAAGCAGTATTCAATGTTTACTTCAGATTAGCTCCACGTCAGAAATGATCATGCTTGTTGTCATATGTCTCTCTCCATAGAGGCTGAATCATCATGTTAATCACATAGCTATCATATGCCTCAAACAGTCCTGATGCTCTTCTAGGTAATCACCATGGGCGGCGCCAGGATTTTTTTGCTGCAGTAGCTTAGCAGTTGCTATATGACAGCACGGCGTTGCTAGTTTTTTTAATTATAATTTTCAAAATAATAAAC